GTATTCCCACTACCTATCAGGTTGCCTGCCTGTTAAATGAACACATGTTCTAGATTTCAGGAATATCAAAATAAATAAAACATGGCAGAAAATAGCACTCAAAACTTGTTGCTACTTTTTATTGTTTCTTAGAGATTAATAACAAAAATCCATGTTTTTTTTTTTTTTTTTTTTTTGCAGTACGCAGGCCTCTCACTGCTGTGGCCTCTCCCATTGTGGAGCACGGGCTCTGGACATGCAGGCTCAGCGGCCGTGGCTCACGGGCCTAGCCGCTCCGCGGCATGTGGGATCTTCCCGGACCGGGGCACGAACCTGTGTCCCCTGCATCGGCAGGCGGACTCTCAACCACTGAGCCACCAGGGAAGCCCAAAAATCCATGTTTTTTAATCAATTAATTTCTGTCTCTGAATTCTATTTCTCTCCTACCAAGGAGTTGCTTTCTGATTGATATGGAGGGTACTGATACAAACCAAATTAGATCAAGAGCACAGAGGATGTTTTTTCCACTAACAGTAATTATAAACAATAATGCTTACATTAAAATGCTTCAAACTAAAACACTTGAGGGTAACACTGATATCTTTCTTTTTCATAATTTTGAACTCACATTAGATGAGTTCACCTAGTTTAGCTTCCCAGACAAATTCTACAGTGTTTTAAAGTTCACCTCTACCTACCCATACAAACCCACCGAGCAGGAACGTTCATCAGCTTTTGACATTTATGAGTTACAAATGCAAGTTTTGACTGAAAGTCTTTGCCAACCTCAAGCAGAGGACAGAGGCATTTGTGTGCATGAAAGGAGCTTGGTGGCAGCTAGATGACAAGTATTACACTGATGATGGGGTTCTCGGGTATCTTGAGAGCTCCATAGTGAGCTTCATTTTTTGTTTTTTAAAAACTTTCATTTAATTTTATTTATTTTTCTTTCTGATAAGTGCTAGCCCAAGTGCCCTCTATTATATCTATGAAAACAATTTGTGTATCACAATGATCTGTTAATCCCTCTGATTCACTGTGTCTCAAAAATCACACAAATGATAACCTATGAACACATCAATAGGAATGAAGGTGGGAGAGAAGAGAGAATCCAGAGAAAACAAGAGTAATGAAAAGCTCTCAAAATCACCACCCTGATATCATTAAAAATTAAGTAAGATAAACCCACAATACACATACCCACTTTGCCCACAGAACTGTGGCAAGGCTGAGTCAGTGTGTTAAGAACAAGATATGAATATTCTGCTTGGATATCCAATCTGAAAACAAAGAGAGGAAATGACTTAGCAGGAGATTTGCTCATGAACTTCTCTGTTGATTCTGAGCACAGCAACGCAGGCTGAACTACCTGGAGATGCCACTGACTTCTGTTTGAGAAATCACCGGATAACCATTAATACCATATTTTAAAAGTTTGTTTAGGATTTCAAGTTTGTGTCATGTGTGATCCCAGTAGTGATTTTTGGAAATGCAGTTTTGAAAATGCTAATTATGAGTGGTGTTATACTAGGGATTTCGGTAAAAGTGACAGATTCATACTCTTAGTCCAATTTATAAATGGAACAGTGCTTGTTTGGATAGAGCACAGATAATTGAATAAAACGATGAAGCCAAAATAAGACTGGGCAGCAAGATGCATAGATAATCATTCAAATGAATTTTTTTCTCCATTGCAATATAAATTTAACTCAGGGGAAAAATGTGCTCCTCTTTTTGATTTTTTTCTGAGTCTCTCTGAACTTGGACAGGTCACACTTGGCTAAATCACAGCAGTGGGGATAAAGAGGTGTAGGTTGAGGAGGTGAGGACTGGTCATTTGCAATCAGACAGGTATGTTCCGGGAAGCCGATTTTATGATATAGAAGCAAAAGCAAGAGCATAATTTGGAGGATCAAAGGAAAGCCACATTTCGTGGTGTTACATAGAAAGTCATGATGTCTGTTTCTGTCCATCAGCTCTCCATTTTCAGTTCAGACACCAATCAGGAAGTTGCTAGTTCTGCAAAAGAGAGCAAAATAGAACTCCTACCTTACCTAGAGAACAGGCGATGGGCACATGCAGAAAACTGTCCTCAGAGTAGCTGAAGATTAGTGCCTGGCATTGAGCAAGCACAACAAAAAGTCATTCTCAGAGCAAGTGGTAAAAAGGTAAACAATGAGCCATTATTAGTGGGTGTTTGGGAGGCAGTGTCTCCATTTACTGAGGATAATTAGTGTTATCAGAAAAGTCCAGTTTTTTAAAAAGAAGATATTTAATAAAGCTTCTGAGTCAAGGAACTGAAACCAGTGTACACAAGTGTAGAAAAAAAAAAACAGTGTGGATAAGGGTCTCCACTAGCTTCTTTAGTGGAATTAACCCTTTAGTAAAGTAATGCAACATGGTGGTCTATGCTGTGCTCTCCAATATGGTAGCCACTAGTCACAGGTGGCTATTTAACATTAATTTAAATTAATTTAAATTACATAAAATAAAACTTCTTTTCCTCAGGCACATTCACCACATCAAGACCTCAATTGCCACATGGGCTCAGTGATACCAGTACTGGACAGCACAGACAGACCAGCTCCTTTATTGTGGAGAGTTCTACTGGATGGCTCTTGAAGAGCATTGTCTTGGGAACCTAGTATTGAATTTTGAGTCTGCAACTTGGCAATGGCATGGCTTCTGTTTCCTCATATTTAAAATAAGGTGAAATAATAGTACTTGCTTCCTGGAGTTGTTAGGACGACCAAACAAGAGATTTCTTTAAAAATAAAGTGTGAAGAACCATACCTGGCCCAGAGTAAGTGTAATATCAATAGTTTTAAAATGCATGGGTGTCTACTGCCTATATTCTATAGTTTGTATACATTTATGCTTATGTTACTTTTTAGTAATAATGATGGTCAACATTAAATGCACACTTACTTCTTGTGGACTAAGTGCTTTATCTGCTTTGCTTGACTTAAGTGCCAATAAAATCCCAGTAGGAAGCACCTGTTAGTATTACTTAATAGTTGAGGACACTGAGCTCAAGGTCACTCAGCTAAGAGACAATTTTTGAACTTGACTGACTTGGAACTGCTACAGTATTTTCCAGTATGATGAGCTACCAGACTCCAAAGTCTATGCTATATTGTCTTTTGTTCTGTAAACTAAAACCAACACATGTTTCTTCTGGCTTAAATCTGAGTTAAAGAGATGATTCACAGATAACTTATGTAATAATAAGAACTAAGCATCACATAGTACTTAATACATGTGACACACTGACCTAGGAACTTTACTTGTACTATGTTAATTCATTTAATCCTCACAACAATTTTGTGATAAATGCCGTTACCACCCCATTTTGTCACTGGGCAAATTGAGGTTCAGAGAGTCTCAGTATATTGCCTAAATTCACACAGCTAGCCCATTGGGACTCAAATCTTATTTTTAATGTCTTTTTTTTCACAATCACTATGTTTACTGCCTAGGGTTTCAGTACACAGTACAAGAGTACAAAGATTGTTGGCCTAGGGGTACACTGCCTGTCCAGTGCAGAATAGATTTTGGTGCTCGAAATGGACAAAGCCAAGTAACCTCACTGAATAGCTACTGAACTACTTTAATCAAGGCTATTTCAGTCCTGCGTGCTATGTGTGCATATCCTGACTCGCCCTTTCCTTGGGGAAAATAGGGAGAAAAGTACACACACGGAAACGTACTATTAGCTGCTGCACCAAATTTGGCAAGGACTGTGGATCACAGCCTTTCAGCAGAGGTGCATTCTTCTGCTGACAAATGTTTGTGGTTCCAAGCTCTGATCCACAGGATCTCCCCCTGCACACTTCCCAGTCTCTCTCCACATCAGGTGGATCCCTGTGACAAAAGACAAAGTGATGTCTTTTGGAAATCACATCTAAGCAAAGACCAATTCTCTGCTTGCAGTTCTTAAAATAATTTTCAATGAAATAAAGCCTTCTGAGTCAGAGGATATGACATCCTCATTTGCATGATTCAGAATGGCAATGACGCCACAGATAGTGATTGAGCAGTAGTTCCCGAACTTGGAGACATTGAACAATTAAACGGGTACTGTTGTTGGCACCAAATGAACTGTCTTGGATAACTGAAGCCTGGGCCATTGGACCCAGCACAGGAAGCCGGTGGCTATCAGAACTTCACAGTAGGTGATTCCTGTTACCTCCCCAATGTTTTCCTGGAGTGGGGGGCTGACAGCCGACAGTTTTTTGAGTGAAATAGAAGTTGCTGGACTTCTTACCCAGAGCTTACAGGGTTTAGTATATGCATCGCTTTCTTTGAAAAGGCTCAGAGAATATCTATATTGTATTAGAATAGGAATTAGTAACCTGGTAGCCATGTACAGGAAAAAAATCTTGAGGGCATCTTATGAACACCTGAAAGTTGTATGCAGGTTATTTTTGTGTCCTGGGAAAAACGGCCCACAGATGCCATTATATTTTCAAGGGGATCTCTGGCCTCTAAGAGATTAGAACCGTGTTTTGATAATTGCACAGTTAAGAGATCACAGAGGAACGTTTATTACAAATTATAGTGAAGTAGAATTTTAAAAGCTGGACCACTGCTGAAGTAGCAGGGTCCATTGCAAGTAGCATCTTCATCTCTCAACATAAAAAAACCTCAAAGTTCTCATGTATGGATATTTTTAGAATGCATGAGAATGTGGACATGACTGTCATGCTGGACTTAACAAATAACAGCCCTTGTAGACTTATTATTACATCTCTTTTATTCCCTAAAATGCTTGCCATGATTTTGAAGGGAATTGCTCTGTGTACACTAGAGTAACACTTTTCATCTAAGTAGGAGTTTAAAGTCTTGGATGTGAATTGTCAGTAGTAAATGATGTCCTTTACAGATGAGGCATTGAGCGTTCTGGCTCGTAATGAGAGCCCAGCTATGCTCACCTGCTCTGCATGGTTACCACACGGGCTGCCAGAAGGCTTACTGATGATGAAGAGCTGCGTTCCTAAACTCTATAGAGACCAGCCTCTCCCTCCCTGCATGTGGGTTCAGACTTGCTTCCCTTCAGGCCACATGGAGCAAATGCTCCTTCTGTAGAGATACCAGTCCCCATATCCTGTTCAATGTGTGAACATATCGTGATTAGAGCGTGCTTGCTGGTGTTAGAGTCACGCCATGGATTGCCAAAAATATGTCCAATCAAGTGTCAATCATGATAGGAGGCATACAGAGGGAGGAAATGGGACTCTGATTAAAAATTTCTTTTGTGAGGTATTGACAGTTGAAATAAACCACTTGCAGTAAGAGCAAACCTGCTTCTACTTTCTTTCCTCATCCTACTGTTAAATTCCACTGCTTTCTTTCCTAAGGTGATTCATCAAGGAGATATTTACTGCCAAGAAATCACTGATTTTGGCTTTGTGTTAGCTACTCTCACTGGCTAAACCCAAACTGTACAGCAAGTATTGGAAGACAGTTAGAAGAAGGTATCCTGGTGAAGTTTTATATAAATAGAATTTCCTTGCCTGTAAGCCAAAACTTACAAGAGCAAAGAGTTGAATTTCTATTTCACTGCGAGGACAAAAGAAGAGAATCGTTAATGTGGACATCAACAGAAAATGAAAACGCATTTTGCTACTGCTCCCTAAAAGTTCTTTCTGTTAAACAGAAACTTTAGTCCCCACAATAGTTGGGGAAAAAATCATGATATTGAAAATGATTTGTTCATAAGCTCTTCTGTTTAAGGTAAGTTATTTAATATTATTAACAAGATTTAAAAAATTAGAGTGTAAGAATATCCACTTTCAACTACAATTTTGCTGCCATACTGACTCTCTCTCTCTCTTTTTTTTTTTTGCTATTCATCAAAAACTTCATGTGACATAATAAAAATCTCATTTAAAGCATCTCCCTCAGATTGCCAACAAGCTAGGAGCTTGTTAGAAATTCAGATTCTTGGGCTCCAGCCCAGACATACAGAACCAGAATCTGCATTTTAGCAAGACTCTCAGGGGATTTGGATGCACATTCAAGTTTGAGAAGCTCTGGTTCAGGGTGAGATTTCCCAATCTCAGATAATTGTCCTAATCACCTGTGTGTAGAGCTCATAAGAAATACTGTAGAGATTCAGTTAATGAGTTTTTACTCACCTCACTCTCTGGTTTAAAAAACTTTCTCATTTACTTCAGTAAAACATCCTGGCTAGTGACCACAGCAAGCTGACTACTCTCAGCTTGTAGCCCATTCTCGAATATTCCAAAGCTTTTCCGCACATGCCATTTGATGTATGTGCTTTCCAGAGCTGTGCTGTTAGTTCCTAATCCTACTAATGATACAGTGTCAATAATGTAAACTGATAAAATATGACTGAGGAGAGAGTCACAATGTTTATTATTGTATGTGCATAAGGAAATTGTGATGGAAAATATTGTAACTATCTAAAGGCGTATGTTCAGATTTCTTTCCAAATGTCTTTAAGTCCTTGTTCTATTTTAAAGAAACTAAAACCAGAAAGTGTACACCCTGTCTTGTGGGTGTGAAATGTGCAAGAAAGATGGTTTTACTCTTCATTCAGAAGGCCTATAGGAGAAAAAAATTCTTTACTCCACAGGTGTAGCAAATGGATATGTTTATATATTTTAGTTTCATTTTAAACTGTTGTACCTTAAAGCTGTCCACCTGCCATATCTTTTCTGATTCCTTGATTTCTGCAACTTTTGCATTGAACAAATCAAATGCCAGTTATAATTTTGTCAGGTTAGAGAATTTTTATTACACATATTCCTGGATCTCATCCCAGACCACGGAATTAAGGTGGGACTTGGAATATATATTTTTAAAAAGATCTGGCAATCAGTTAGGCTTGGAAATTATTGAATTAGAGAATTCTGACTAACCAACAATTACAGAAGTAGGAAAAATTCAACAGGTTTAGATATTTTAAAAAATGTCACTAACACATTTACTGAAGAATTTCCAGAACTTTTATAATAAAAATGCCTCAGCTGATTCCACAGATAATATTCTGGATATTGTCTACATTTCCTGGTATGATGTTTTTGAAGTTTTCCCAGGACTGGACCAGCTGGCCCCTCTGAAACAGTCCATCTGTAAACCAGGAAAAGGGAGAGCTTGGATTGTGGTCAAATTTTTCCTATGTCAGTTTCAGAGTATTCAAATTTCCTTCTGCACTCCAACCCCACTGACACTGGTCAGAATGGCACATATATTTTCTTTGGAGAGACTTAATACTTTCTAGTGACTTCCTGTTTCCTTATTCACTGGTAAACTGACATAGGAAACTGATTACAGGTGATTTGGGGGCGACTAAGCTGTATTGATTCTCACTGGACTAGTGGACTAAGTTTGACCCTCCCTGATTTGGTTTACCTGCTCACTAATATGCCTTCCAGACCTCTGAGGAAACCTGGATGCTGCTAGGTCATTGATTTATGAAAAGATAAACAACCGTCAAATGACAGGAGGGCTGTAAAATGAGGTTACTGCCTGCCTCTTAAATTAGAGATAAGCTACCGTTATTACATTTGAGTCTTGTCTTTAAGCCTTTAAGCATGTTTTAAATGAGCCATCTTCTGGACCTGTCACTCAGCCTGCAGTAGCTGCTCTGCAGAGCTCTAGCATTTGGCTATCAGATACACATCCAACATCTGCCAGCACATTAGGACCCTTGCTTTGGAAACTCACATTCTGGATATTTTGAGTGAGAAATGCCATTGATACCAACCAGGGTTCTTGGCCTTCCCCAATCAATAGAAATTGACTAGAGGCCAGACAAGAAATTCAGATAAGGCTTTACAGGGGCTCCTGCACTGGCTGCAGGAGGGAGTGAAAACAAGTAACAGGTTCCCTTGCTCACTGGCTGGCTGAGGAGGGGCAAGCTTGTTCCTTATATGGGGTGAGGGTAGGAGTGTGTCCAGGGGTCAGACCAGAGGGGTGGCTTACATGTTTTGCCGACCCCTTAGGTGGTGTTGAGTGCAGGGGCCATGCTCAGTACACTGCTTTTGCTCCCAACACCATTTTTGTTTGCTCCTGGCTCTTCAGAAGTGACAGGGGTTTTTTTAGTTGCTTTTTTTTTTTAAGTTTTTTGTATCTTTTGGTCCAGAATTTGCCCCAACTACACATGTACACAGTTATTTTTAGTCCTATATAGTTTCTTTGTATTTTGTTGCTTGAGGAGAGGTGTGTCCAGGTACAAGCATTGCAGCACTGCAGCAAAGGGTTCCAGGTCCCAGGCCTGTCTCACCATGATTGATTTTGATTTTCAGGGTCCAGGTTGGAATATCTGCTCGATGTGGAGGTGATAGCTTGATAAAAATGGCCCCAGGTACACTTATGTGTAACACAAAACAACACCATGGTAACTTCACCCTTGGCCTCAGAATCTGGCTATCTAGTTATAATCTACCGCCCATCTCCTCTTCTCTAATTACCAGTGAGGCTTGAGAGAAATAGACAATCCAAATCTGAGCCCACTAAATTTGTCAAATATTCTGGGAAGTGAACCGCTGAGACTCAAGTAAATTCTGTGGCTTCTCATGATAAGCCACTGTTTCCTGCGCTTGCCTGATCTTTACAGTTCCTGTGTGGGGGGTTGGGTGACGGAGGGTTTTGCTTAAATATATAGATCCCAGTCCTTATTTCCAGCGATTTCCATTCACTAGGTCTGTTGTAGGAGGGGGCAAGTGATTCTTATAAACAAGCAAGTTCGGGCATCACCACTTTAATGTTCTGGGATTCATTTCATTCTGGTGTCTTATGAATTGTGTCCTCAGTAGACTAGTGATGGTAGTGAACACGTGTAACACCAAAGTACCAGGGTGAAGTGTGATAAATATTTCTTGTGATTCTGAAAAGTCAATGGCAGCATGTGGTGCTTGCTTATTCTAAGCAGCAGGACTGTTCAAGAAGATTGTTCTAGCCAAGACATGGAAACAACCTAAATGTCCATTGACAGATGAATGGATAAAGAAGATGTGGTACGTATATACAATGGAATCGTACTCAGCCATAAAAAAGAATGAAATAATGCCATTTGCAGCAACATGGATGCACCTAGAGATTAGTGAAGTAAGTCAGGGAAAGAAAGACAAATGCCACAAGATATCACTTATTTGTGGAATCTAAAATACGACACAAATGAACTTATCTATGAAACAGCAACAGACTCACAGACATAAAGAACAGACTTGTGGTTGCCAAGGGGGAAGGGAGTGGGTGAGGGATGGATTGGGAGTTTGGGTTTGGCAGATGCAAACTGTTATATAGAGAATGGATAAACAACAAGGTCCTACTGTAGAGCACAGGGGAACTATATTCAATATCCTGTGATAAACCATAATGGAAAAGAATATGAAAAAGAATGTATATGTATAACTGAATCACCTTGCTGTACAGCAGAGATTAACACAACATTGTAAATCAACTATACTTCAATAAAATAAATTAAAAAAAGAAGACTGTTCTGCAGAAAGTATGATCTCATTTGGACTCATAAGGATACTAGAGGACCCCAAATTGGTCTTATTAATAATAACACAGTAACAATAAGCAATTCTCAACTCACAGTAGTTGTGAAGATCACTTAACATTATGGCAGCCTCGAAACTATGAAATAAAAACTTTTTTTTGTATTTTAAAATGTAAATACCATTAAGTTAGCATGTCAGATGAAAAGGCAGCTTCTTATACTCTGTGTGTATGTGCGTGCGTGTGTGTGTATATATGTCTAGGTACACAGATAACTTCTAGGTACAGGAAGTTTATGGACTATACTTAAATTGATTTTAGCATTTGAAACTGTTCAAAACTGTCCAAATGGAAGGGGCAAATCACTGATGCTTCATTTTATACATCAGGACACTGAAACTTGAGGAGGCTAAAATGATGCAGTTATTGTTGGAGCATGGATAAGAATTGTTACTATAAATATCTGGTTCAGGGCACATTTTTACTTTAAAATCAACTTTATCAAAGTATAATTTACATGCTATAAAATGCATATGTTTTAAGTGCACAGTTCAATGAGGTTTGACAAATCTAACCATTTGTGTAACCGCGGTCTTTATCAAGCTGTGTAATATTTCCACAACCCCAGTAATTTCCTTTGTGCTTATTTGCAGTCAGTAACCAGCACCCTCAGCTCCAAACAACTGCTGCTCAAATGTCTATCATTGTAATTAATTTTGCCTGTTTTAGAATCTCACATAAATGATATCACAAAATATGTGCTCTTTTGTGCTTCTTTTATTCAGTATAATGTTGCTGAGATTGATTCTTGTTGCTGCACTTTTTAGTTTTTCTTTTTTTTATTGCTGAACAGTATTTTATTAAATGAATATACCACAGTTGGCTTATCCATTCCCTCATTAATGTATATATGGGTTATTTGTAGTTTTTAATTATTATGAATAAAGCTATCATCATTCACATGCAAGTGTTCCTGTGGATATATATTTTCTTTTCTTTTAAGTACCTAGGAGCAGAATTTTGGGGTCACATATTAGGTATATGAATGGTTTGAAGTGGTATATCATTGTGATTTAAAAAAACTGAGATATATTGGGCTTCCCTGGTGGCGTAGTGTTTGAGAGTCCCCCTGCCGATGCAGGGGAATGGGGTCGTGCCCCGGTCCGGGAGGATCCCACATGCCGCGGAGCGGCTGGGCCCGTGAGCCATGGCCGCTGAGCCTGCGCGTCCGGAGCCTGTGCTCCGCAACGGGAGAGGCC